GGATACCTTCAATTATATCGAGAAACTCATAAACAAGCACGAGCAAGGTATTTATCTGACAACATTTTAATAAGGTTTTACAGCTTTAAATAAATGGATTATTCATCTTTATTTGCTGTCGAGCATCTTATTCCTCTTTTTTATTTTATCTCTGTTTCTCTAGGGCAACCTCAAAGAAAGGAAAAAACTAGATCTTGGGGGCTGTGACTACTCTTGCTATTTTTCCTTTCATGCCAGTTAGTACACGATCGCGTATTTTCACTCATTTGAGTGCCAAGCCCACCTCGACGTATCCCACGACCCCTCCTATTCCCAGTGAAAGCGAACGCGAATACAAGGAGTTGATCCATCAACGTGAGGACCTCCATCGGCGTATTTGTCAGAAGAATAACGCACTAGTGCAGTTCGAACGTAGTATTCTCAGCTTTTATTACGCGCACGCTATATGTTCTGAGAAGGAGCTCAGTGCGATCCTGTCCTCCTTGGATTCCGCCCCGAAAAGGCCTTCGCACGGCTTCAGCGAGGTGAGCCGGCGGATGTGTGAACTGCGAGAGCAGGAGGAGCGTCAGGAAAAGGAGCGTGCGGAGTACAAGGCCGCGATAGCGAGTATGGAGGAAACGTATGAGCAAACCATTATTCACGGCAAACTGGCTACACAGGAAGAAGCCGTTAACCGCTCGCAATCTGAGCTGTGTGAGTTAAATGTCGAGTTTGAAAAACAAAGACAAATGGATCAAGACCTTACATCCCTTATCGAGAATCTTGAACGGGAATTGCAAGATCTACGAAAAGAAAAAGACAAGTCAGCGCTTCGCAAGGCGGTTTTAGAGGAAAAGAAACGCCATCAAATGGAAAATCTAGGAAACACTCGGCGTGAACTGCAAAAGGCTCATGCTGATGCGCTGCAAGCTCAAAAGGAGCTTGAGCGAAGAGAGACTATAAATCAAGATTTAAAAAATCAGATAGAAGAACACTCCATGCGCCTAAAGCGGAGAAAGCTGAATTAGACATGTATCTAATTCACATTCCACACAGCTCTATAGACTGCTAGATCTTAAATTAGATGTACATGATAGAATTGCATCAATACTAAGAAAAGATATGAAAATATCTGAGGGAACCAAAGTTAAAAGCGTGAATCGTGGTTGTTGTTTCTTCTTCCCTTTTGGTGTATGTCTGTTTGTGTGTGTGTCTAAAAGAAAAACTGCCAACATAAATTGCATCTACCATTACTCACATTTAAAATACACGAGATCCGAAAACCATTAAAAGTTTTTTGTTTTGGTTTCTCTTCTTGGCTTTATTGTTATTAATACAGTTAAGTAGGATTATTAAGTTTAACGTATGAATACACTCGCCGCAGCTCCTTTGACACAGACAAACGCGCCGTTCGCCGTGGCGGGTGGGGCCCCCACCAGCGGCCCCACGGCTCCACAGCTGCCCCCGCCAACGCCCCTTTCTACAGGCCTGGGCTTTTCCATGAGGCTACGAAAGGCGGTCGACGCCGGTTCGATCTCGGATGCCCTCGCGGCGGAGATTAAAACCCGCTTTGCGATGCCGATGACGGCCTCCTCACAGCCCGTAAAGACGGGTGAGGCGGCGCTGATGAGGTCTACCGCAGGTGCGAATCCCCTCGACGAAGGCAGCGCTCAGGGCGCTCTGCGGATTCAACGAGCAACCGTTGCGGCGGAGTTCTTGGAGCTCCTCCTCTTATGTGATATCGGATTTAGCAATGGCTATAACAAACCAACGGCTGAGGGTAAGACGGACGCACCGGATGAAGGGGAAGTACCTGCTGGACTTTACGCTTCGGTCGGGGTTATCGCCAATAGCGCTGCGAATAACATAATCACTTATTTGTGTAAGGAGCTCTCGCTAGATACCCTAGGCTACGATAGCATCACCCCCGTCCTTCAGAACTTTCCAAATCCCTCAACGAGACGCCATTCGGCGAGGGTTGGAAGCCCTTATTTAGGAGGGAGCTTAGAAGGACAGCCTTTGTCATTTGCGATGCCGACGCCACACTCTGGCGGCAATTTGATCTTGCTATCCGCCCAATGCCTTTATTTACTTTCCCGCCATTTCCAAATGCAGGCCGTCTTTGTACGGGATGCGATGAATCTCGTGGAGGTACTATTCAAGCATATCCAAAACGAGTGTGCGGGACGCTCGCTGCCGCTTTCTCGCTTTCGTGATACCCCTGATGTTGGTCCTCTCTGCACTCTTACTTGGTTGGTGGTTTTCTCCGTCGTGAATGCCGTGGCGGTGTGGAGGAGGCTACGCTCCAATAACGGCGAACTCGCGCAAAACACGCTCATCCACTCCGACGTCTCTACTACCCTTGAGCAGCGTCTTGTTCGTCTTCAGGAGCAGTACAGCCTCGCAAACCTCCTTTTGAAAGAATCTCAGGGTGTTGACTACGATCTTTCGTCTTCTTGGCAACGTTCAATCAGCAACCCCCTCACGCCAACCCTCCCACCATCATCACTTCAGACAGGTGAAAAGGGCATTCTTTTCAGTAGCAGTCATCCGAGACTTACCTCACACAGCTGGCTTGGTGTGGTGGAGGGCTTCCTCAGCATTTTGATTCTCGCAGAGGGATGTCTGTTGAAAACCAAAGGTGATGATCGTGGATATGACCGCGCGCTTGAGGCTTTTCTGGGAGATCGCGATAAAATCGGTAACCTGGCGAGTGGAAAGCCTTCCCTGCTAAATACCACCACTATGCGCCCTGGAAAGGTTATGAAGCGTCTTACCCAGCTCGCACCTTTGCCTGAGACGCTCTCTATTCCACTTGACCATATCTACATTATCCCATTTGAGATGCTTTCATTTTTGTTTGACGAAATGCTCCCTTTAATACGGCACGTAGCGGATTTGGAGGCTATCGCGTTCCGAAACTACGTCGACCAGCTCCAACTGTTAGAAGAAGGGATGCCGCAGGGATTTGAACCCGCCGAGGATGCCGCATACGGTAGGGCCGAAGGAAGAAAAAGTGTAATTAGTTCCGATTCCTACTTTGGCTTCAACCAAAATGGTGAGATCCATCATTTTCCTAAAATACGTCATGTGCAGGATGTAGAAAGCGGTGGTGGGCAGGGTCCTTCAGGGACTGATGTGGCTATGATGGTGCCTTTTACGTCGGAAATGGCACATCTATTGGAGGCGCTTACAATTTGCCTAGAACACCTTCCTCCAGGTGTGCTGAACCCCGATCTCGATGCAGACTGCTCGGCGACTTTTTTCGTTTTTCAGAACTGTCTCAAACACTTCTCAACGGTGTTTGAGATTCAGCGCGGGGCGTCGACGTCGTGGGAGGTTTTCACGCTAAAACTTGTTTCAAAGTTTATCAATGTGTTGTCTATGATAGGACGTAACCCGCAATATCTGGAGCGCGCTGCGCAGGTGCTCGCAGGGATGCAAAACGATTGTCAGGAGATTCAGTGGTCGAGCCTCATCGCTCAGGCTCTTGAATGCGCGGGGCTCGATAGAGGTTTGATTGGAAACAGCAACTTTACTGGTGCATTGGCTTACATGCCCACCCAACGTCTGTTGAGTGGGCGTGATGACACCTTAGAAGATACCTTAGCTGTGGAAAAGGCCAAGCAAAATTACCTTCCTCGCCAGATATCCCTGAAGTATCTTCGCAAGCGCCAGAGGCAATACGTTTCCAGTCTCTTTATGCTTCTACGTCAAATGGTTTCGAATGTTGCTTTGTGCAAAGCGATTGGTAACCAAATGACGCTTGATGTCGCGCTTATCTTTTTATGGGCTCCGAAGCTCAGTCAGTCGATCCTCGGCAGCACGTTATCGCTCATTTCGAGCCTCATTAGCAGCACCACAGATGCAATGAAAGTGTGGCACTTTTTAGAACAAAATCGTCTTCTGCTGCCGCCACAATATCAGCCAAGCGTCGTAGAAATGGGATCCCACGCCGAGGAAGGGGAGAACAGGCATGTTTCCCCTTCTGGATTTCCCCAAGATCGCAAATATAACGCTGGAAATCCGAAACACACAACGAATCAGGAGGAATCTCTCTCGTTGTTAGGGCATTGCCAGTACGAATGCACACAGGGTGTCTACCCCATTACGATCGGCTTTCTGAACCTTGTGATCAGGCTCTTTCGGTTTGATATGCCGTCCGTGGAGCGGTTCTCGACCTACGCGAGCGTCGCCCACTTTATCGCGCAGGAGCTGTTCTGCGGGAACTCCACCCGGGTCTTTGCGCGGAGCGCAGAGCGCCACCTCGTCCTCGCGCTCGC